CTTGCTGGCGAGAGGTGTTAGTCACCCTAACCCTAATTCCGAGTTAGGTTAGGGCTAACCTAATCTCGGATTAGGGTTGGAAGTTAGGGTTAAGTGGGGCAACGAGGTATGGGGACGCTGCCCCCACCTGGTTAGGTCATGTAGGGTCGTCATTGGACCCAACCAGGTTGTTTGAGTGAATGTATGGGTTGGCGAGACACAAAGGAGGCTGATTGGAGAAAGAGAGAGGGAATAGAGAGTGAGAGGTACTCGCACCTGGATTCTGGACTTCAGGAAGACATTGAGTGACTTTTGGGCCTCCCCTCAAGAGGGAGACTTGATCGGAGGCTGCCATATCTGCATCGGACTGCTGCAAGTTGCTACTTTGGTCTTCAGGCATCGACGGGGGATCCGGCTTTGCAACAGGGGTGTAGGAAGGTCCTCTTAGTCATGCTAGGACACTTCGTGTAGTGGTAGCTAGGGGTCAGGAGGACTTATATGAGAGGGGAGTGACTTGTTATCCATCTTTGGAGGCCAGACCTGTGTCACAGGTAAGTGCCGTGTGACCTGGGTAAGCCCGTGGGAGGTTGCTTGGTGCTGCATGACCTGTTGGGGGTGTGCTGGGATCTCTTCCCCTTCTCTGCAGTCCTGGTTGTGTGTGTTGAGCATGTGGATTGCTTTCTCACCTGATGGATGAATGGATGATGTATCTTGTTCTAAATGACTTGTCTTTCTACACTGCATTGTCTTTTCACTTCTGAACGGTAGTAGGGGTAAGTTCTTGCTGAAAGTTGTCTTTTCCTTTTCAGTACGGTAGAGACAGTTTGGGTCTGACTTGGTACCCCTGTCTTGTTAGACCTGGTCCTCGGCCTATTGGGGACCACTTGGGACCCAGTGGGACCAGGCCCAACGGGACAGGACCTTCGGGCCCAGATCTGCTGCCGTCAGTGCATTACTTTCCTGTGCTGAATGTGGGGGACACACGGACAGCAAGGTTATTCCTTTCAAGGGGATCTTGACTGGTCTTACCGCGTGTGATCAGATACTGCCCCGCGTCTGACTCGGCGACCATCTGCACCCCTCGAAATCTCCATTGCTGCAGTTAGTCTTCTTCGTCTGATTTATTGTGATGACACGTCCTCTGTCAGGTTAGACAAGAGGGGATCTCCAACTGATCTGATCAGGCCCGTTCTATAAATGAGACCTCTCTGTTGTTTTATTTTTTTTATTTTATTTCTTCTGCTGCGTGCCACGTTCTCAGTCCAAATGATTCGCCGCTTCGGCTAGGAGTTCTACCTTCTTCTCTGAGTGGTTTTCTGTTTGTTTCTTTGGCCTGAACTATCTATGTCCGATGTGAGACGCGTGCGCAGACAGCGAAAAGAGAGGAAAGGGAGAGTGAGGGTGTGCTGTTTGAGAATGTGAGGAGGGGCAAGAGGAGTGTTCGTCCAAACGTAAGGAGAGAGTGGACCCCTCTTGAGAGCACTACTGGCATTCCTTCCTCCAGCATGGCAGTCATCACATCTGACCAATGGCAGGCCATGCTGGACGCAGCAGACGAGAGTCAGAAACCGTTCTTTCAAAAACTGTATGATGATGCCGTACAGAGGGAAAGGGAGGCAGAGGCAGCAACTAGAGCTACGAGTATAGCTGCGCAGGAGGCCCTCCTACAGGTTCCGGAAGCCAATGCTGACCGGTTCCAGGAGAGGCTAGCTGCTGCCGTCGCAGCCTTGGTCCGGCTGCGGAACTTGGAAGATCTCGAGTCCCGTGTGACAGCACTTCAGCAGCGGAACAAAGAGCTGCAGGCTAAAGCAAATAGCCTTGAACAGTCCCAATTGTCTGCCCCCGGCCCTCCTAACTCTCGATCTGCTGTAATCCCAGTCTCTCAGTCCAGCACAGCCCTCGTTCCAAGGGCCAGCGGAACTGTGGCAAGTGCAGGAACCGGTGCCAGCTCCTCGAGCGGCAGCACCGGCAGTTATGCACTGGTCACAGTCCCAAATGCAGGGACTTCAGCCCAAAACGCCGCAGTTCTTACTGGCGTTCAGGACAGCAGTTCCACGGTGGACAAGCGTGCGGCCACGCTGCCGTCCAGGTACGACGGGAAGGCTGACATCACCTCTTGGATTAGTTCCATGAGGTCATACTTCGAGGTCATGTGGACACCGCAAGAGGACCGAAGTATGATCATGGGGACTAATACCGAGCCCGCCGTACACAACCACATTGAGCTCCAAGCTGTTGTTGCAGGCTATGAGCGCATAGACCTGACTGAATGGCTGAAGGTTACCCCTGTCCGCGCTCTTGAAGACCTTCTCCTTGACCGGTATCAGGATAAACACGCTGCGCTCAAGGCTAGGCTGAAGCTCGAGGCCCTCAAAGGCCAAACATGGAGGTCATCCATGCAAGCTTTAGAACAGCACTTGACAGGTCTATTCACCACTCCGGATCTGGAGATGACTGACGTGTCTTGCATGGATGTAGTCATGGGAGTGGCCCCTAAAGAATACCTCTCCCTGCATCTTAAAGACCATGCTACCTGGCGAGAGCTTATGAAGGATCTAGTCAACCTAGAGGCCAAGGACCTCGCCAGGCGCAAGAAGGCGCCCGCTGCAGGTGGGAAACCACAACGCAAGCGGTTGGGAAGCAGCAACCAGCTTGCACTGCATGACCATCGGGAGGCTGAGGATCAGTCTTATGCGGATGATCTATCTTAGGATGACGATCTAGAACCGGACTCCGATGCGGGTTGTTTTGCATCAGCCATTGAGTGTGACCGAAACGACGATGAAAAACTTAATGCATTCAAGAAGACTGCTTCAAATAAGGGGCCTAACCGTGGTTCGGGTAAGGGAACAGTTATACACCTTCCCAAGAATGCTAAGACCCCTGAGAAAGCGGAGGACGCTTCCACCATACCTTGGGAAGCCCTCCGCATCAGCCAAAAAGAATGGGAAAGAAGATCCAAATTGCGCGTATGCTTGCATTGTTCAAAGCCTGGGCATGCTGTGCAGGATTGCTATCGTCTTTAGGGAAACAGGCAAGGGGCGTAGAGGAGTCATCAGCACTCTCTACAGCAAGGGAAGCTGGGCAGTCAGTTGCAGGCCCTTCCGAGGAGCCTGGATCTGATCAGCAGCTTGCTCTTGAAGCCCGAACCGATGCTGATTCCAAGGCTGGTGCAGTCCAAGTATTATACACTGAGCTATGGGAGGAGTCTACAGAAGTTGACCTCCACGCCCACATGGAGCATTGGCTGCTGCTCAAGCAGCAATGCCGTGTTCAGGGGAGCGTGGAGCTGACCTTCTTTAAACTACTCGTTAACCGCCGATACATCCGTGTGTTGATTGGCAGTGGCTCCACCACTAATTTCTTCTCTCCGAACGGGATTCGTAAGGCGGGCCTGGGTATGAAGCAAGTGGAACTGCAGAACCCTTGCCGGACTCAGGTGGGCAACC